TGTTATTGCTAGAATGTGTTTTACAGCTGTTACTGTATTTTATATAATATCTAATTAACATTAGTTATTTAATTTTAGTGGAGTTAGTTTATGTTAAAAATCTTTATATTCTTGAAAATAATAGTTTTGTCCAGAAAGTACTCGGTGTTTATTTCTATTGGCCTATGTGAATCATGGATCCAGGTATCGAAAATAGGGAAGTTTCACCATATGAAAATTTTAGCAAAGTGTATATTAGTACATTTCTAAGATTCAAATTACACATATGTTTAACTTTGAAATTTGAAAGAGGTTGTCACAGAAATGCTAAGTACCATATAATCAAATGTCTTGCTTAATAGAAATTGGATACTTCAAATATTTCTAAGAATTTAGTATACTTTTAATTATGTGTTAAAATTACAAGAAATTAAAATGTGCTTCTAATTTCTCTTCTTTGAATTCACTGCAGGCACTACTGTATATTTTATTGTAAACAATAAGGTTAAATGTTAGGCCCTTAAGTGTTTGTATCTATAACTAACAGTTACTCAAATGCTTTGTGACCAACCAAAGGAAATTAATAAACTTTTTATTTGTTAGGCAAACTAGTTCTTAGCCTAGTATTTTTTATATTTTTCAAGTAGTTTAGGTTTAAAGTCAAGCAACATAAAAATTAGAATTTGATAGTTACAATGTTATTTTACAAAGCTTGAAAATCATTAGGGAATGAATAAAGATAGAACTAGAAAGTCTATTTAAACAATAATAATGTGTTAACAAGTAACAACTTTAATTTCTACACGCTAGCTGCAGTAATGTTTCATAATTTACAATGATGGCATTCAGTTGTCCAATTAGCCATGTAATAGTTACCAAATTTTTAGCGTTTTTATATGAAAAAAATCTCATTATGAATCTGTGTTGAACATATGAACCTAAAGAAACCTAAACAAGTCAATGAAAGTTAAAGTAATGTTAATATATTCTGTAAATCATTAGCTCAGTCAGTATTCTTTGATAGATTGTTTAGGCAGAGTATTCATGATGAAACTTTGTTGAATGGATGGCAACTTCCTGTTGTGGAAACTGGCTTGTTGTAGAAGATTACGTTTCAAAAGTCTTTCGTCTTCACAGCTTAGTCAGGCTATAATCTAGTGATTTCAAAGCTTATATCTTGATTTTTTTGTAATGTGATTGATATGAAAATAAAAACAGAAACAAACATTTCAAACTTTTTCATTGAGATTGGCTATAATTATTTATAATGATATTAAGAACAATTGTAGCATTGGTAAATGGGATACCCATTTTCACATTTAAAAAAATCATTACACACATTTTGATTTTGTAATAAGTCTGCCTTGTATGAGCTTCAGTTGTCCTAAATAATAATACTAACTTTGAAAACAAATTTCTAAAGATTGAATACATTGTTAAAATGTCTGAAAAAATGAGAAGGCATGTAAATTTACCATGGCAACATTTAATTGATATTTATGTTGTTGTATTAGCTTAGAAATCATCAGTTATTGGCTTAAGCCTTAAATGTATTGCTATTGTCTCCAACTGTGCTGATTTCAGAAAACCTCAAAAAAGCTTTTATGGTAATTAATAACCCAATAAAATACAAACATTGGCTTCTAATGTTTTATTTGGATACTGTATGGTAGTGTAAGGATGTTTGGGTATTATGTATTAATTTCTGAAGAAAATGGAGGTGGAGGGACTTTGGCCTCCTTGGTCCACCCTACATCTATTGCACTGTTTCCCAGAATGTGAGATTATGCAAGTGACAAATAATTTCTGTTTGGTTCTTGCACCTATCCAGTGTTTTCTCCTATGCAACTTTTGTTCTTCCATTGTCTTCTAGTGGAGTTGTAGAACCCTTGTTTGCCTAGTACTAGTCTGCTGGATAAATCATTATGGAATTTTCCCTTTAAGATGGTGTAATCTCACTAGCAAGATGCAAAGTGGATGCACCCATCAAATGGAAGTAGGGCTTGGATGTATAGTACAGAACACCACCTCCACTAAGAACTAGACCATTCCACATGGTTATGTCCAGCCAAATTGGTCTTGTGTTCTCCTTGGTATGCAGTTCTTCTAGGTATTTCACATAATTATTTCTAACATACTGCACAACTTGACTTATTTTGATAGTCACACTAGAAAAAAAAAAACGTAATATGCCAGTCCCCATAAATACACAGGCCAGTAGAACAGACTTTACATTGTACCCACCTTTGACATTTTAGTACCATATAGGAGGCTCTTTTTGACTACCTTTCTGCACTACCAGTTATATTGGGCAAAGAGTATTTTCTGCTTGACCCCCTCCCCACATGATTAGTTTTCCCTTTCTGTTGCTATATTCTCAGAAAGGAGCTCATCATTTCAATTTCATTATCTACAACAGTCATTTCACCATCGTTTCAATGTGATGGACTTGCTATCTATTCTATGGAGATGGGAGTAGCATTCCTGAAGTTGACATTTTCTGTACTTGAAAATGTATTTCAGATAAATACCTCTCCACAAAACCACCCATTCTTCTCCCCACTTTTCATATATTTTGCTTCATCAGGAATGAGAGCTTTTCGTATGCACTGTGCATAGAGGATGTGTTGCCCTGCTACTGGTTATTATCTAATGTTAATTGCATCATAAACTGGTGCAGTATATGTTATTGCATGTAAGGGTGAGAGTTTTGTTCAAAAGCTTGGTACTTGTGCCAAAACTTATCATCATTGTTGCTTTGTATTAAATATTTGTTCTGTGGAATGGTGAGTATCCATCTGAAATATATTTTCAGGTAAAGAAAATGTTAAATTCTGAGTTTAATATTATTCAGCAACACTGATATATACTTACCAAAAACTACATTACATAATAGTAATTTTATAAATATTTTAAAACTTTGGATAAATTATTTTCATATTTAGCTGTAGAGATAAAAAAATTAAATAATCCTGCCTCCTAATACTTAAAAAAATGGTGGAGTTACTGAACAGCAGTCTGTAAAATATGATCATGATTTTTGGACTTGCTGATGTGACTATTCAGAAGCTTTTTAATACTTGCTTCTTAGAGTATAAAACCAATAACAAAAAAAATTCAAAATTAAATTGTGCTTTACTGTGGCCAAAAAATACAACTTGTTTTTTTTACTTATGAATCAAATATATGTTTAGATAAATGTCTAAATTTTAAGATGCTATTATTAATATATATTCACCAAAGCTGTCTGTAAAATATCAAAACCAACTTCAGTTTAACAACAAAGATCTTCAAATATATAGATAAGTATGGGTAATCCTGTTTCACCTGTCTTTGCCAACATATTTATTAAACAGATCAAAACACAAGCCACAAACACTTAACTTAATTCCCCCCATATTTATATAGATATGTTGATGACATGTTTGTCGGGTTCTCTTCTACCAAATACACACAAAATATCTTTGAACATGTAAGTTCCTTTTTTCCCACCATCAAGTTCACAAGACTGTTATCTTTTAATGTTATTAGATCTGACAGATAATTAGAAACAAAATTTCTCCATAAAAAAAAACTAAATTCACTGAACATAATAAAAATACATTCCATGTTTACAGCTGTTCTCTCCCATGTTTACAAGCATTGCAACTTAAAAAGCCATTGTGCATCTATTAAAAACACTGTGATTTTAAATGCAGAAACAAACATCAACGAATCTAAAATACAAAAAGCTATCTTAATTGAATAAATTTAATAGCAAACCATACTCTGAGAGCCAGCAGACTGGGGTACCAAGATGGCTTTATTAAGCCATTAAACAATCTCCAGTCATGTGACTTAATTTAATACTATATATATATATATATATATTCCTGTGTCTAGATAAACTACTTGTATCTGATGATGATAAGACCTTGTAAAAATGTTGTACATTGGTTACTGTGGTAAACAGTTACAAAATTTTTCATTACCCTTTTAAGATATCTCTCAACTTTACTAGTGTAAAAGTGTTTTTCTCATCATCTAATTTTGATTTATCATAGCGAATTTCTTTGTTAAGTCAAACTTAAGGGTGGTCAATGGATTTAACATTTTATTGATATTACTATGAATGTTTATTTCCAGCATTTTTTAAGTTGATCTATTTTGTCATGAATATTAAAGTAATTTCTTTAAAAAAATTAATCCATGTCTAGAGAAAGTCATAAATGTTGAAAGGTGAGTATTTAAAATATGTTAGTATTAAAATGTTTGATAACATGAAATTTTAAATCTGCAGGTCTAACATTTTTAACTATGAATAAAACATACTCAATATTCTGTATATTCTATGTTTGGTCAGTGTCCATAAATTATTTAAAAATATAGTTTTGAATTTGTGGTCATTTTTTACCTTCCTCCTAAGTTACATGTTCATTCTATATCTGGTCTGTCAATTAAATCTGATGATACTTGAAACAGTGCAGGAACCTCTTCTGTAATTTACTTTAACAAGTTAGGTGCCTGATCTTCCAAATTTCTGTAATATTCCTGATTGAAAAACACATGCTGTAGCCAGTCTCATTGCAGTGCCTGCTGGTATGTTAATACTAAAACATCCATCACAAAACATACTTTTACCTACCATGTTAAGTAATAATTTAATTGTGCCACATTTTTGCTGAAGAGTCTTAAGAGTCCTAATATCATGAATAATTACTTATATAAATCCATAAACAAGCATATTTGAATCCACACAATTGGCTGCCTAGAAATACTTTTCAAGTTGTGTAAAACTTAAGAGCAGTCACAAATGAACTAGTCTTTCAAATTGATAAGTAATAGAAAAAGGACTGAACATTCTATAAACTGATGCATGACAAGGCAATAAAATACACTTTTAACAAGATATATTTTATATATATAAAATACTTTGTGTATGTTACTTGCAATGCATTCCAATAATCAAATATATATTACTGATATAACACTAGAACTAACAATGACTAGTTTGATAGTGAATAGATAGTTTCTTTTTCTAGGTTTGGAACTTTCGAGGCTCTAAAGAAGAGAAATCTTGATGCGAAAGGAAATCTTCCTGTTCACAAGCGTCTTCTGTGTGGTCTTGGTGCTGGTGTGTGTGAAGCCATTTTTGCTGTTACTCCGATGGAAACAGTCAAAGTCAAATTCATTCATGACCAGTCTAGGGCAAATCCACACTATAGAGGATTTTTTCATGGTGTTCGAATGATTGTTAAAGAACATGGTAAGACTTCCTGATTGGAATTTTTGAGCTAGGAACCCAGGTTCAAATCTGTATAATACCACAAAATATTCCCTGCAATTTAAGCTGTGTGTGTGCTATAAGAGTGACAGTTAATCACATTATGTGGTTGGTATGTGATAGGATTTTGCTGATTGGATGTCTTTCCTCTGGTCAATAATTCAAAATTAGGGACAGCAGCAGTAGCTTTGCCCTAAGTACAAATATATATATTTCAGACTTTAGAGATGCAATTAAATTTACATTTGGATACAATAGGCATCTAAAAACTGATGCTCAGTATTTTGGAAAAATATTTTTCTCTGTATAAGAAGGAAATAACAGCATTTTTGATTGTGGTTTGGCCAGTAAGTTCCACAAACTTTCATCTGACCAGATGTTCACTCAGTTGATGGCAGACACTTACAAGAGAAACAACTTTCATCAGTTTCTAAGATGAAAATCTACATGGCTCAACTATGTGCCAACCAGAAGCAGCAACGGAAATAGCTTAGATATTTATTCTCTGAACTCAGAACATCATATACAACTTGTTACAAGATCTATGCAATTAATGGAATTTATTATTCTGTTAATTATTGGGCTCATTAATCAGTTACATTCAATTAATCAGTCATTTTCATATTAAGCTAATCTTGTTTTTGATTTAAGACATTTTTGAACTACCCTTTGTTTAACTTGATTAGGGTTATCAGATTTCCAGAGTGAAAAAATATAGACTTTTTTTTTCACATGGAGTGATACTGTAACAGTATCCATAGACCATAGACAAACAAAGGTAGTATAGTACAAAGAAAAAGTTGTGCCCCATTGGATGAGACCAGATAAATGACATTGACCTTGAACATGTCCAAACAGTTTTCTTTCTGAAACAGTGTGGCTGTATCAGCTTTATGAGCTGTTGATATAACCCATAAATTTTACACTCTTGGTAGTGGACTACTTGATCCCAACCTTCTACACTGTTTTATACTTGATAGGTTAAGTTTTCCACCTCATAAAATCATTTGTCACTCTCTTGTGTATCTGCTTTGAAATCCTACTTCTATTTTGAATAGTTTCATTGATTGATAAATAATTGGAAAAGAATGTTAAGTTTTGAGGAAACTTATAATGCCAAAGATAATAATATTAATTTTAAAAAATATCCATTCTTTATCAACAGTAAATGAAAGGATTAGAAGAAAGTGGTTTGTTTGAATTTTACAAAAAGGAACTTGAGGACTATTATTACGCTAACCTAATTTTGAAGTTATAGACCAAAGATAGGGAAGACAGCTATAAAACCACCAACTGCTAAGTCTTAAGATTCTCTAACTGAATAGTGGAATTTGATCATAACTCTTATAATTCAGATTTTTTTTTTGCTGTATATATACACATACACAGAAGTGATAGATTTCAACAGATGCTTTTAAATCTTTTTTTTTTTTAAAGTAATCATGATTGCATTTATTATTTATTATTTCTAATCTCAATGACAAAAATAGAAGCCAATATTGTACTGGTTAGTAATGATTCTTTCATGTTAGTTACATTTTATCTCGAGTTCTCTGATTTTCTCAGCAACCATATTTATACAATAGACTTTAATCTAAAATAAATATTTTTAGATACATTTAATAACAAATATTGAATACAATTTCCCAATTTAACAAAAAATTACATACTAAATTCAACATCGTTCGTTATTTATTACAGCTTTTTAAATAATCTGAAAATCTTATATTATTTCACTTAATTAATTTTATGAGGTTGACACAGCTGATGTTTTTTATTTTTATATATAAATAATCAGAACATTTTATATAAGTGATTGATACATGTTTTAACATAGTGAACTTACTTGAATGCTCTTCAAAATGTTATTGGAACTTTTTCATTAACTAAACTAAATATTGTACTATTTTTGTGTAGTGCACATGTTAAAATTGGAAGACAAAGATATTTTGAGGATAATGACATAGCTCAACTGTTAAATTACTGTTAAATCAAATATTCTCCATAACTAAAGGATTAATCTCACCTAGAATGACTGATGGGATATGACCCAGGCTATTATTGAAGTAATTTTGTTTTGTGCATAGAATTACAAGCTAGCTTCATCTGTTAGTGTAAATTGAACATAACTGAGAGAAAAAGAAAATATTTCAGTTACACTAGATTTTTAAGTTTTGATATTTTTGTCCAGAATTTAAATAACATTAGTTAATAATCATTCATGGATGTATTCGAGTTATAAAATGTAGTACACTATATTTTTACTATTACATCATTAAATCATGTGTTATAAAAGTAGCACAAGTATCCAATAAATCAGAGTTTATATTAATAAAAATGTTCAGTATTGTTGTTTTACATTTAGACAGTGCAAAGAACTAAATTTTTCTTAGCATTTATTTGTACTTCAGGTGTCTCAGATTATCAAAATATGTTTACATCTGCCTTAGACAGATGGTTATGATGCTCAATTTCTTGTAATATTTCTTGCAAAATTTATATAAATATGTCAAGATACTTTGATAATATTAGATGACCTGTATGCAGAAACTAAAATATTCATAAGATGGAAATCAAAGTTTTGTTAGAAATATCAAAACATGGTAATACCAGAAAACAACACAAGGTTTTATGCAAGTTGTTGTTGATACAGATGGAAGTTTAGAAAGAACACAATAAAATGATTGATATATTTGATTCACTGATTACGGTCTGATGCGCCCTAGCCACTCTACACCATTTGGCATATACAATTGAGTATATGATGTGCTTATTGAGTTAAAGAACATAGTGTGCCAAGGTATGCAGAATTCTCAAACATTTTCTGACATAAAGAAGAATGTGTGAATGCAAATGTGAAAGTTGAACAATTCCAAATTATTGGAAAGGCTGAAAATGAGCAGTGACTAAGGTTAAAAGAATCATTAGTCATAAAGAACTTAGCACCTGAACTGAACAGGAAATCCAGCACTGGTGAGCTGATGTTAGAAGTGTGTGAAGAGATAAAAATTTTTTGTATGTTTGAAATTACCTTGTGTTATTTATTTAAATATTGAATTGTTCAGTGATGATGGTTTTTTTTTTCATCAAGAATTAAGAAACCTTTGAATTTATTATTTCAACTTCTAGTTAACATCTGAAATATTATCATTTTTACCTTAATTTTCTTGATTTAGAGAGAAAGAAATAAAATTTTTAAAATTGATTTCAGCTAGAACTTCTGATCCAAGTTATTTTATTTTACATTAATTTGATTTTTTCTCTTAATCAACCCACAAGATTTTGGGACAAATATTCTAAAAATTGTGACATGGTTTCTTTAACGGGACTATTTCTTGCCTTCATTAACACAGTGATGGGGTTTTGATAATTAATCACAGTTTTGTTAATGGGCATACCAGATCTATGAAACAAGCAAAAAATAAATAGATAATTAGAAAGTAATAATAGTAAGTAAATTATAATCTTATGCTACTACTTTCTATGGATTCTGTTTCATGGATCCTTTTTAATATGATTTCTTGTATCCATGGTTCTGAAACCTTATGAGGTTTATACTCTCCTCCTTGGGAGCTGAATTAGTTTCTTTAAATGGCAACATGGTGATTGGAGTTACTCTGATAGTGAGCAGTGTCACTGACATTGTACATCATGTCGTTGGTTCTATCCTACGTGGTTTATCTCAGACCCAGGACTCATGACCCCTTGCTTCTGCTAAGCATGTCTTGTCTTTGGATGACTTTAACTAACTCTTCTCACAACTTGCCTTTGCTTCTGACTCTTCTATATCTGAGGAGAATCAGTTAACATTAAGTAGTAGATTTTATCCACCATTGTTCTTCACTACTCTGATAACTTAGGTATTTGATGTTTGTTTATTTACTCTAGTCACCTCTGCTTGTTCTTGAGTTAGCTCCTTGCAATACACCTTAACTCTTCCCCCTCACCTCATTGTTCATTATTTTAAATTCTTTCGGTCTCTACCTTATGTTTATTCTCAGTTGCCATTTCCTTCTTGAATGTAAGACTCCTTTTCTGTGACCTGTGGTAGGAATTTTCTCTCTTTTTTTTTGAGTGCTCTTATCCTTTAAATCTTTTCTTTCAACTTGGGGATATTCTTCTCCTACTTTGACTATCTTTTACAGTCAAGCTGCTCATCTTTGTCTTGATGCATCGCTACTCCTACAGCTTTACTGACAAAAGTCACACTTGTTGTCTTTAGCTGTTGCTCAGTTTACTTGCTTTCTTTTTTTGTCAAATTTGCTACATTGGGATGCCTTGCATTCTACATTTAAACTTCCTCAGTTTTATCTCAGGGAAATTCATGTTGTACTCATCTTATATGAAAATATTCTGTGGGGAGTTTCTTGTAGCCCTTTCCTGATGTCCTCCCTCCCTTGAGGACAGTCATCATGTAGCTTGATGATCAGTTGTTTTTGGAACTACTTCTCAGCTTTGCTCCTGTGGGAACTTTGTTCTTATACTTTGTCCACCTGTGGACCTACTTTACAAAAATCTATTAGGTTGACATTTTTTCTCTCGGGAATTTTTTTTTGTCTTTCATGGTGTGCACTCATCTGTTTTCAACTAAGTCCTAAATACTTTCACATGTAGAAAGTGCTCTTTGGGTCTACATTTCTACTATTATAGGGAATTTAGCATCTCATAGTCCTTTCTTGGGAGGCATCTGCTGTGATTTCTCTTGTCCTTTGGGAGTCTGCTCATTTGGGTTGGCTCTGGTCAAGTTACTAAGATAGTATTGACTCATTAAGTATCTGATTCATTTGGGAGTCTTTATCACCTTCTTTCTGGGTATGCTCAACCTTCTGCTTCACATTTCCCAGATATGGAGTTTCTAGTTTCCAAGGCACTTATTTCTCTTTTGGGGGTCTCTTGTCTTTCTTGTGTCCCATCTTTCTCTGGATGTCTCCTTTTGTGTCCACTTCAGGGATTCTACCTTGTGAATGGAATATACCTTGTGATATACGTTTTTTTTCTTATATCTCTACCTTTATCTCTTTAGCTCATGCTGTTTTGATGACTCAATCATTTCCACATGACTATGATTCTCTGTCTTTAACTTCCACACCCAGACTTGCATCTTTTCACAGATGTCTCTCTAGTCAAATGACTTTTGGTTCTGGATATCTTCAATTTCAACTCTACTGTCATTTTTTACATCAACCTGCAGCGAAGAACTTGCTTCTCGGTACTCTACCTTCTTGTTTTCAAACTTCACTTTTGGGCTAATGACAACAACTCCCATTTGTTGGTCTTCCCTATTCTTGGAGCTATGAATTTCATGTCAAATTGGCTGTCATGTTCAGACTAGGTCCTGACATTTTGGAAGTCCTTTTATCAATGAATTTTTCTACACTAAGTTTCCACTTCGTTGGTCAATGTTCCCATACTTCATGGCTCAATTAGTATTCCACCTGAGTCTAGAATTGTCCACCTTCTTTCTTTATGCCTATCCTCTCTTTCAACTCTTAGGGTGCTGTTTTTAATTCACAGCACACCTTGCTAGGTTCTCCTGATTTCCCCTCTTGGGCCAGCTAGACTTCTTTGACAATTTATATATATTTTACCTTCCAAGCCATACTATTGCATAAAAAAAGTACTAGGTATGATCCCCTGCCCTCACAGTTTGCCAGCTCTTGCTGTCCCTTTTCACAATAACCCATTGTACATTCTCTCAGTGTGGGACTTTATACACATGATAAATAATTCCTGATTGGTCCATATACCTCTCCATTGTTCTCTGCTACATGAATTCTCCCCAATGCTTTCTTCTTAGCAGAGTGGGAAAATCCTTGTTTCCTAGTACCTTTCTGCCGGTTAGTGTAATCTCACTGGTATGAGACTGAGTGGATGTATCTTTTGATTCTAGGTAGAGCAAGGGTGTTCAACTAGAAGGTTAGTGCAAGCCACGCTCTATACTAGGAATCAGACCTATCTTCTCCTTGGGATATACATTTTGGATATTTTAACCCTGCACCTGTTTATTCTGGTAGGGGTATTTCTCATCTTCTGTATGCCTGGCCACACTATGCAAGCATATTCTGCTATTCCCCTAAAATATGCAGTCCAGTTGAGCAGCCTTCACATTCTGCCCACCTTTGAGACACTATTGCAGAATGCAGGAAGTTCTTTTGTCAGTCATTATCTTTTTGCACTACCACTTATATTGGGGGAAAAGTATTCCTCATTGAGGTGGATACCCACTCCCACAGTATGATTCTTTCATTAGGCCCCAGTGGGTGATACACTCCACAAGTTTTCCTTTCATGTTGTTATATTCTCTGAAAAGAGCTCATCATTTAAATAATTTCTTTGCCTTCAACTTTTTGTCATGGATATTGCTCTGAAAAAAGTGATTATCTCCTTGGCAGTCATCCCATATTTGGAGGCCAATATCTCTGTGACAAAATACCTTAGACATACTAAAATGTTTCTTAGTGCTTCAAAATAAATGTCATATGCTGAAATAAAGTATCAAAACATGTAAAAACAAGTGTCATTTCTCACAAATCAGCTGTTAAATATGGTTTAATTCATTATGTTGTATGAAGATAATTTATAGCTTTATATTTTTAGGATTTTTATCTAAAAATATAAAAACATTTTGCTACTTGAAAATAAAAGTTTTTTTTCCATTTAATTTGCTTGTGGTTTTTTGTGAGTTATTTTCAAAATATGTTCTAACAACAACTTTCAAATTTATAGTGAAATATAATGATGTAGGTAAGATATTTATGATTGTGGCAAAAAAATGATTAAATATTTATTTTATTTTTTTCCAGATCTGTAAAATCTTTCAAAACTGTATCTGTAGTGATCTATTCTTGTGTGTTTTTCAAATAATTCACATTGATTTTAGTAATGAAACATATGTAGTGAAACAAATGTAGAGGCTATACTATCTTAGTTATTCATACCTATGGACTGTGCAATTATTTATTTATTTAAACCTTGTTACCATAAAATAACTAGTTTTATAGCTATATGTCTTAATATATAACCTAGTCACATTCTAAGTATGTTAAGTAGTGTTTCAAAAACATGCAAGTTATCTGATGTATACTCTAGCCATGCTGTTATCACTGAGGAACAATAAAACAAAAAACGTTTTAGCTTAAGAGTTCAAAAAACCTGTTTTGTATGTTAAATCTTGAATAATTTGTAATTTTGTAAATACATTTTGAAAAATACTTGATACTCCTGTAAGAAAACATTTATTAATGTCACTTTAGGTTAATTGTTTGTTCCTTGTTCCTCCACTTTATATGTATCTTTGTGTTCAAGGCATCCGTGGTGTTTATCAGGGACTTACTGCAACCATAATGAAACAAGGAAGTAATCAAGCCATTCGATTTTTTGTAATCGAGTCTCTTAAAGATTGGTGGAGAGGAGGGGATCCAAACAAAAATGTCAATAAGCTGTTAGTTGGTGCTTTTGGCGCAGTAGCTGGAGCTGCTTCTGTTTTTGGCAATACTCCAATTGATGTGGTGAAAAGTAGGATGCAGGTAAAAATTCATTCTATAGAAAGCAAGATATTTCTTATGTATGAGCTGTAACAGACTTATTCAACTGAGATTATTTTATTATTGAGCAAGTAAATTTCCTAATTTGGCAACTAAGTAATTTTATAAAAATTGTTCTACTTAACTTTTTCAAGCCCGAATGAGAGCAGTTTGCTTTAAGAGCAAAATTGCACCAATGAATTAAAATTATAGAAGTAATTTTTTTCATCCATTAAGAAAAGCAAAACATTTCGGAGTTGAAATTTATTGAATAAAAAAGCTGTATTTGTTTATTTTTTATGTATAAAAATATTGTAAATTTTGATTTTGGATTAATTTGAAAAGTCATAGGCTATAGTGATTTAAAAATGTTAATGAAAGCTCTCTTTTGATTCTTTTCAACTATAAAATGTCTGATTTATTTAAAGTTTGCCTTATTATTTTCAATTTAATATGATTTATGGTTTGAAGTATGATAGTAAATTTTTTTTTTTTTTTTAAAAAGATGAGATAGGCTTAGTTAAATCATTTTGCACTCAACCATATGAAGTTTTGTTTCACTAATGTGGTCACTATGTTCGGTGTTGTTTGCATTAAACGTTATCAGCTTAAGTAGCTGATTGAATGAGCAAAGAAAATTATGAAAAAAGGAAGGTAAGTAAATAAATAAATGAATATAAAGTGGGTTTAAAACTTTATATATATATATTAAATGAAAACTTCTGATTATAATATTAAGTAACAAGTAGGCTTGCTTATAATTTTTGTATGGTAAGAAAGTTATTTTTGTTGTATATCAGTGATCATTAACACAAAGAAAGTTCTTGGATTCTTTTGCAAATAAAAGTAATCAAATTTAGTTTTATAAAGTAGAAACTTTATAGAAACAATGCTTGTATGGATCATGGAATTTCTGAAAAATCAAGAAAAAATATATTTTCCAGACTTTGAAAGTTGGGGAATTTGCATAAACTTTAGTTGTGGTCATGAAATGACAAGGAAAATTTAGTAGGGGTCAAGCTTACTACAGAAATTGCATGCAGTATAATTATAATGAAGTTCTGACTTGCATCATGTGTAATGCCTTTGATCTTGAAACTTTTTTTTTTCTCTTATTCCTGTTATGCAATGTTTCCCAGAATGAGGTCTAACTATTGTTCTTGTTCTTAATATTTTGTAGTTGTATAAGAACATGTGATACAGACTATGTTAATTTGGAAGTTGGTTTCTTCATTCAGTTAACCAAAGTTACAAAATAGGATACAAAATGTCATCATGTTTTTTTTTCTCACAGAGAGGTATTCAAACAGCTGATCAAACAAAGCAAATTTAAAGTCTCTCTACATTTTAAAACCAAATTAACCCCTGCCAATAACCAGTAACCAGCAACTTCAACAAAGCATTTTGTGGAGTGGCAGATATTTACTCAGTCAACCATACTTGATGGCACTTAATAATGGTTGGAGACGGCTTGAATGGGTAATGAAGAAAAACTTTAATATAAGTTTAACATAACAGCAAATGTACAATGTTTCGACAAGGTTTTGTCATCATTATATTAAAGTTTTTCATCATTACCCATTCAAGCCGTCTCCAACCATTATTAGTCTCAAAGTGGGTTCCTCGTCATCGAAGATGACACTTAAGTTTCAGTGGTCTGTTTGTTTGTTTTTTAGGCTAAGAATGGCTTAACACTGAGATGCCAAAAGTGAATTGTGAGATGATCGTTTACCTATAAACAGTGTCTTTCATTGATTGGCATGTAATTTTAATATCTAGATGAAAAAGAGGTTTGCTTTCTTTGTCATTTGTTGCCTTTAAAGATGGGAGAATGTATTTTACTTTAATCAGATTCATGATGGATAAAATGGTCGTGCAATACTGCATTCTTTGAAGCGTATGAATCTTGTAGGAAAGTTTTAAAAGAATGTAGGAAGACATAAAAATCAGTAATTAAAATCTACAATATAGGTAAGCTCACAATTAAATCTTATCAAAATTTCAAAGGTTCAACTTCATACAAGAATCACACCTAAAAATATTTTATTTGCAGAAGCTACATAATCTTTTTAAAGTAATTCTGAAATTTCAAACTATTTCATCTTGCAGTTTTTTTTACAGTGCAATAAAACACAACTTACAACATTCTTCAGTCTCTCTCCTTGTTTAAACTCAGTAAGGGTAAAATTCAAAGTCAAATTGTGCAATAAATTTTCTGCTGAAATTCTTGTTAGAGAGGTTACTATATTTACCCTTAAGAAACCAATGTACTTGGGAATACTACCCTCATAAAATATTTGACAATTTGATATTTTGGTTGATAAAAATTTTTATATTTGAATGTTTCAATTTTTTTTCAGGGTCTTGAAGCACACAAGTACAAGAATACCTTTGACTGCATTTATAAAATTGCCAAATATGAAGGTGCTGGAGCGTAAGTACTTATTTTCTAGAACTGGTTAAATCGTACTCAAAGTGTGTTTGTAGTTTGAATAAAAAAGAAGTGTTATCAGTAATTTTCATTTGGATTTAATTCTGGAAGAAATAGATTTGTTCTGAAAACTGAATGTGTTTGAAAAACCATGATGTGCTTTAATGGTTTTCATCTTAAGAAGTAGTATTAGTTTAAAATTGGATTGCACATGGAAATTAATTTTTAATACCCAGCAAAATAAGTTTTTCAAAAGCTATTTGTATAGTTTTGAAAAATATAACCTTTAATTACTCTAGCAAATACTTTTTTATTTTTAAATTACAGTATTTGTACTGAAACTTATAATATTCATTTTCCGAACTTTTACGTTGTACTTTTATATGCTGATTCTTGAAAAATTATTAAATTTCTTGTATGTATAAGATTTTTCATGTACTTTTCAAGTTTTTTATTCAAGGTTGTTTTTATATTTTCCTTCCATTTACACAACTTGTTATTTAAGGCAACTTGTGAATGTTTTGTAGTTAAACTCCATTATAATATTGTAATGTGGTATATTGATATTCTCATTAATGAACTTGCAGGTTCTACAAAGGAACAATCCCTAGGTTGAGTAGAGTCTGTCTTGATGTTGCCATCACCTTTATGATCTATGACTCTTTTATGGACCTTTTCAATTCTATTTGGAAAACAGACTAATCAGAGTTAGTTTCAACATGGGTAAAATGAAATTTAAAAAACTCAAATATTTTCTCATGTGGGGAATGTTGATACAGTTATAAACATAAATGATTATAATTGGGGGAGTACATGGAATGGTTGCAATAGCACTGTTGGTGGTTATCATGTAATCAATAAACATTAGATATATGTTTCATATAATTAATGCAGTATCTTTAAAAAATTGATACTTTAACTTAATGTGAGTGTTTTGGATAGAATATAACACGTAGAAATAAGTACCTTTGTATGACCAGTGGACGTATTTGTGAAATTTGTTGTTCATAGTAGCACAGCATACTCAGGACTGAGTAAAATTTAAAACAAAAAGTATTTTAGATATATTGTTTAAGTATTTGAACTCAATGCTAGAATAAAGAAACTTAGCAATACTAGAATAAAAAAATGGTGAAGGAAATTCAGTCTGTTATTTGTTTTTATATTTTGGGTTCCTTAATTTCAAACAAACTCTGACATAAATATAAGAAATATTTTCTATCAATATGTAGCTTATAACATCTTCATTATCTGCAAAGAAATATGTGGTAAAACTTTGAGAATCATAAATCCATTATTTGAACTATTTTCTTTCCTTTTACCCTAGAAAATACCTCTGCAAACAGAATAGCTTGATCCCTCATGTATCTGCCTATTTGTATGCTACTAGCCTTGAGCTAACTTCCACCTAAAAATCACGTGTCCAAAGTGAACTGCACTAGTGCATGATGACAGCATCATGCAACAATAGCCCTGTACCTAGTAGGAGGGAAGCACAACCTCTTTACGTAGTAACTCACTCTAAGCACTTGTGCTCAAAATAACTTCATTCTTTTCTTTACCATTGTCATGATTGGATGTTTTTAAAATTATGAACTGATTATGTGATATTTCCATTTGTTTTTTTAACTGGTTTCTTTTATTACTAAAGAAAAAAATTCTATCTGCTTACCCATTATGAAATCTCAAGTGATGGGTAACTTCTGTTTTGTCCTGTGATAGTGATGATGTTCCTGTGTATATTATGGTTACTGGAGATTCATTGTTTGTAGGAGATGTGACAACCATTGTTAATGTATTGTGGATTCCTTCATGCACAATGGACCTCCTTCTCCTGTCTACTTGGCCAACTTTCCTTCTCCCCAGGTTGAACATGATTAGTATTTTGATGATTTGACTGGCTATTTCCCCCACCAGGGTTTGCTCTAGACACAGCTTTATCTCTGGAATAAAATCCTCACCATTTTAATCTCTTTCTTGACATGGTTTTGTGGGTATGTTCTTTTTTTTTTACCCCTTTGTCTTTTGATCTTCCTGTGTTTTTAATACATGAAACCCATGCTCAAGAATACTTTGTATTTCCTCTTTCCCCTGATGTTAAGGTCTTTTCAGACTATTTCTCCAACATCTGAACACCTGTATTACCATGCATTGTTCTCTATTTGACTGTGTTGTCTTGGCTTATAGCTGTTTATCATTTCCATTCCCCAGTTCCTAACCTTTGGAATCTCTTTTACTTACCTGAGGGGAGGTCCTTTCTAGTGTCCAATTTTTGCTCCTTCATCTTTTTTTTTTTTACCACCTTCCTGCATTACATTTTGTCACTTCACCTTATGCAAGGGTTTTCTGGAAAGATTTGTTCTCTTCTTTTTGCCACATTGGCCCATACTACTACTTCTGCTCTATCCCCCACCCCCCTGCTTGGTTTCTTTGCCTTAGTGGCTTGTGATCAGATGCTCTCCTAGCTAATGTATGCCTTCGTCCTGCTTCTCTCAGTATTACTTGTTGGGCTCTATTTCTTCACCCAGAGGTTTTCAGACTAAGATAGCCCATCATCATCAGGCCTCCTTATCTACAGTGATTTATGGTCTTTTTCAACTTCACTATTCTATTCCTGTTTCTAAGCCAGCTGAATCAACATCTACCTTTCATCCTAGCTTCCTGCCCCTTATCTACTTTCTGTCCCCACACTTTCTAATGTCAAGGTCATCACCCATCACATCTGTGATTACTTTGTAAGGTCTGGCTCTGTGGGGCCCATCTGTCTCATTTCACCATCCTTTGGTCTCCATTTTCATCTGATAGATGGGTTATTCAAGTTCTCACTCACAGCTTCTCTCTCCACCTCTTCAATTCCTCCCCTTCCTTTTTTCCTTCATCCATTATCTTCAGTGTCTTGAGGATGTGGTCTCAGATCTCTTGGCAAAGAATGCTATTGAGAGGGTGTTTGCCCCCTACATATGGTTATTCCTCTCATCTTTTCTTGTGGTCCTCAACAAGATTGATAAATGGTGACCTGCTATTGATCCGTCGTCTCAATCAGTTTCTTATTATCCCTCAGTTCCATATGTTTTTTTTTTTACCTGGGCTATGGATGACCAAGGTTGACAGTCTAGACATTTTTTTTACATATTCTGATTACCTTGTCTTCCAGATTGGATTTTCCAGTACTGTGCTCTTGCATAACTGAGTCATGGAGGCATTCACCCACCTTGTTCACAAATTGGGGCTCATGTTCCATTATTACATTGATGATTGGTTTCTCTTTGCCCCTTCTAGAGAGTACTTATCTCACACCTGCATTCTTCTGCAGGAGTCTGCTCCACTAGGTTAACTTGTCAAGCCTTCCAAGTCATTTTTCATTTTGTACATATAGGTGCGTTCTTCATCTCCAATCTTAGTTGGGCTCAACCTTCACCACTTTAGGTACAAGCAAAGGTATGTCCTTCATCAAGGTTCTTGTTTCTCATTTACACCCTACACACAAGTTTCCTGTTTCATTCATTTAGTTTGCACACTCATGCCTCATCCAGTGGAAACTACGAGACAACTGAAGACATAATTTCTTCTTCTAACCTGTGGTAGCCATCATTTGAATGTATATGCCATCGATTCTTCCTGCACTCTTTCACTGTACTTACTTACTCCTCTAACCAGACCAGGCTTGTCTTTCTAAGACTGCAACTGCTTGGCAAGATAGTCATTCTTTCACATTTTATCACATCAGATTTGTCAGCTGTTTCACTCTCGTGCATCTCCTTTTCACGAACTCTTGTATGAGATCTTTCAGGCTGACATATGGATGAATGTGCACATGTTCATCTCCTATTATCTTCATCATCTGTCTGTTTCATCTCTTGTGGGATTTCCACTCCCTCCAGTCTCTGTTCTTCAATATAACTGCACACTGTCTTTGAGAAGAGTTAGTACATCAGCCTTTTCTCTTTTATAGGATTCCACCACATGGCTGGTGTTGCTTGCTTCTTAGGGTACATGGATTTCCCAAAATCCTCATTGGGCCAGAGGTAACAGAAAGTACACAATTCATTTGCCCTGGCTTTGTTAGTACTCACTGTTGAGATGGGGTGTTCTGCAGATCACATGAAGTATTCATTTTAAAATTACTCAATTGCTTAATCCAGACCTTCCCATTCCATTGACTATCATGGAAAAAGCCAGAACCAAGGAAGTGACTGTCCTCTTCTTCATGCTCACTGACTTTTGAAAATAGGGTAGTCATCCATTGCACTGTCTCTAGTAAAAGACTTTTCTGGCAGATGTCCATTGGAGGTCTGGGTACATCTCCGGGTCTCACCAACATGAATTCTATCCCCATTCAAGTGGAGCATGGCAGACCCTTGCCATTTACCAGTTTCTAGCTGCTGGGATGGAGGACCTTGGAGTGTCCTTCACTGATTGTGTATAGCACAATACGATGGGAAGTAGGATGGTGCTGGCACTGTTTGTGTAGCACAGGTTACCACTCAAGCAACTATTGTGCCCTCCTCCTGCAGTGGAAAAGATTTGTCACTCTAGTCTCTGTTTGTCCAGTTGAGTCAAGATGAGATGCACAGCATACAGTCTAATGATGCTCTAACCACACTACACTTCTTGGCTTGCTGACCACTTGTGTGTGTGTGTGAGTGTTCAGTTGGTCCTTTTGTTTCTTTCCTGATGAAGAGTGTACCATGATAGAAATGAGATGTGGTCTCATACAGTATGCCTTTATGGAGCTCTTGCCATTTATGTCACATCCATGGTCTTTCCCTTTGGACACTTTCTGAAAGCAACTCATCTAGATTTAATGTTTGGTCTTGTTTCTCCACCATTTAAATGTGGGATTCTAGCTATTCTGTGTGTAGAGTTGAAGTATTGTCCCAGAAGTTAACATTTTCCTAACCTGAAAATATATTTCATATAGATATTTACCTCATGATACCTTCCCACCCATCCACCCCTTCTTCTTGCCTCATCTAAAAATTAAGTTATTTTGAGTTACTGTGCAAGGAGTTTGTGTTGCCCTCTTATTGTTGGAGAGTTATTGTCACATGATGATGTCATCATACACTAACATAATTCATATTAAACACTTGATGTTTAAGTGGGAGTTGGCTTAAGGCTAGTGGCATTCAGATGTAGGAGGGAGTTTTGATGTAAGGGTACCTATAGTTGCTCTTTGATGTTTGGAAAGTTTGAATATTTTTATGGAATATCAAGAAGTCTTATCATATTACTATTGTAAGTAACACAGAACTGTTTCACACTTTTCATCAGCTTGCAACATAGTTCTACTTGCACTATGTTATTTCTTCATTATAATTTGTTATAATCTTCTTTATACTTCACACATTATTTCTTCAATATATTTTGTTAAGGACATTTTGCAGAGGGATAATTGCATTTTATAAGAACAACTTGCATATGCTCATGCAGAGGCACGTCACAACAAATTTGAGCTGTTGTGTCATAGGTAACATGTTCAACACTTGTATATATGGTTCACAGTGAACAACAAACCATTCCTCAGTGCTGTGCTCCAAAGATAGACCTTAAACTTGAAGAATGCAGTACAATTAAAGACTTTTCTGGGGACAGATTTTTGTATACTTGAACAAATCTCCTTGTATCATTAACAGAAATTTGAAGTTCACATGCCAAAAGCTTACATGCTTCCAGTGACACCTTGAAATCAAAAGCTGTTTTTATGAAAAAGATGGCTGGAGAAACTTAAATCACGGCAATCCAGTTTAATCACATACCTGTCAGGTTTTTGTATTGCTCTTTTGGTTTGGTTAAATGTGGGCTTGAAAGTCAGTGTTCATGTATAGTGGAGTGTCTGAGGAAGTTTATTGAGATTGAGCTCATTGTTCATTACAAAATCCATGTTACAGTGAGAACTTTGTCATTGGGCAATAGTGTGTAATCATTACCATCAGGTTGGGCACAATTGATGTTGGAAGTATCAGTTACAAAGACATTCTTTAATTCTCAGTATGACTATTACATTGTGTGACTAAAAATTCAAGATTGGTTAATAATCAGGTATACAGTGTGTTTATGGAATGTTATTCTTAACCTTATAATGAACTTGATTAGTTTTTTAAAGCAATATTTTTAGATAGAGGTTGACTGTAAATTATG